GTGGCACTTGATTTTGGGGTGGACTTGGCAGTGCTGGGTTAACTGTTGGACTGGATGATCTGGGAGGTCTTTTCCAACTTTAATGCTTCTATGATTCTATAAACCCTCACACGAAACTGAGGCCTTCCTGTAACGGGTACCTTGCTGTGGGTCAAGGATGCGACCAGACAGCTGCAAGACCAGAGGGAAACCCACTCATTTACCTTCTGAGGGGTCACTTATGTGCCAGGATGCTGGTGAAGCGATTATGCCCACGCTGAGCAGTTCTCCCACCAGGAGCTCAGCAGTCCTTGAAGTTGCAAAATTCACACCCAAAACTGCACTTTGCGTGTATTTTAGTTTTGCAATGCTGCACCTCTCTGAGTCCTTCTACTTTCCCAGATAGTTCCAGCAGCTTAAAACCAGAGAAAAAATGCAGCCAACCATAAAGAGCAGGGAGGCCGATCCTTCTGCTTCCAGTCCTGACTTTCTCCCACCTGCAGGAGAAAACTGACCCATTTTCAGAAGTAGAGACCACTGAGGGAACATCCTTGAAATTAGAACTAAATAGCAAAGACCACTTATTTCCAATAAAAAATTAGATATTTATGACTGCCAAGCCAAGGAATTGGTTTCCTTCTCAATTTTTTTTTTTTGGCAGTCATCAGAAGAAATGCATCAAGTTTTACAGCCAGAGATTTGTGCAAGATGATACAACAGCATCCATGACAGCCCATCTGGGACAGCCACTCACTAGTGGCTCACAAGGTGCTGTTTAAAAGGGGTTCTTCTTCAAATAATACAATGCATAGCACAAACTTGTGGAGAATTTCCTGTAAAGTTCCTGTACCTAAGGTACAACTCCGTTCCACTGGCTGTTGGAATTGCTTTAAACACAGTGAAAATGTTTCACAGCAACACTGGAGGACTTGGGTTATAGAACCTGCTTAATTCCAAAAACAAAGCAAAACCACATTGAAAGCGTGTTCCAAAACACCCTGTCCAATGCGAGAAGACATTTACTCAAGCATTTTGTAGTGCTGTGAATATGCTGGTGTTAATTAAAATGTTAACCAGCTAACCTCGAGCTGATGACACAAAATACAGAATGAAAAGCAGATCAGCCACCAGGATAACACAGAGCCAATGCCAAGGCAAACAAACGTGACATGCAATTCTCAGGTGTCAGGGAAAGGTGGATTTCCAGTCCAAATGCAAGTTCACATGTTGGGAGCATATACTCTTTCCATATTCTGAACTCTGAGAGACCTGCACGAGCCAGGCCAAAGGAGGTTCGTTAGATGGCCTGGAGAAGGACAGGTATGGAAGCAGAACAGCCCAATGCAGACCTGCCTCACTGTGGGCACTGCCAGGAAAGGATCCTGGGAGCACAGCTGCATTTCCTACAGTGTGATCAGGAGCCAGAGGTTGTTGCTTTTTAACAGGTTGCTTTTTAAAGGTAGTGTGTGAATTCCAAAAGGCAGTCACTTTTGTTGTATCATTTTTTTTTTCAGTCTCTCAGACACCAGAAAATACAAACATCACTCGCTTTCCCCTCATCGTGAAGTGTCTGGTGTCTCCACTCTGCATGGCCCAGAAGTATCAGTCATGTCCAAGGCAGATTGGTGGGGAGAGTGCATAGAGGAGAGAAAAGGACACACTCAGGAAAAGGGAGAGACCAGAAAAGGGGAAGAGGGAGAAATCAAAGTGGATTAGAGAATAGGGAAGTAGCAGCAAAGAGGAAACCAAACAAACACCCACCAAAGATGACGCTGCTGCTCTTCCACGGTCTGTGCTGTCCAAGAGGAAGTGTTCTGAGGAAACACAGGATCTCTGACCCCTGATAAGGCAGGCCATTACTGAAACTTGCCAGTCAGAGTTATTTATTCCTTCCTTTATAAAACCCATGTGCTCATAGATTATGGTTACAACATTTTTGCAAGCACAAGCTACTTCTTTTATTATTGGGTCTTGCAGATTACTTTCTATAGCTACCAGAGAAAGCTCCTTCTGCTGCACAGTTTATATCCCAAATGTAGTGCTTTATCTACTAATTGCCAGCCATAGCTTTTAGAAAGCATTCTGAATTTTAAAGGATGGAGCCAGCTTTGATTAAAAATTTAATGTTTTAAATAAAGCCATGCAATTACATTTATTTCAAAGCAACAGCAAGTCAGCCAGTAAAATTTCAACTGCAGATTAGTACCATTTGGAGGGAAGTTGGTGCTACTTTAGTGTGGTGTTAGGTTTGGTGATAAGCAATACTGGCTGAAGTTTCCATGGCACTACAGAAACCACCTCAAAGTTATGGAGAAGACCAGGGGGGTTGAAGGGTTGAGGCACAGACTTTAATCTCACGACACTTGAAGAAAGACACTTACTGAGCACCTTCACAAGACAATAAAAGAACAATTCCTCCTGCAGTGCTGTCTGTCAGACAGTGGATCCCAAACCTCAAGGCTCCATTTCCTAAAACCAGAATCACACACATGGCTGCTCCACATCAGTTTTACCTGCAGGTCTGCCACATCAGATCCACTGATCACATCAGTTTTACCTGCAGGTCTGCCCCAGCTCAAGTACATTGTCACAAATGACCCAAACTCCTGCACATGAGTGACACACTGCATGGGAAGCACTCCCTGGGCAGAAGCAACACACAAAGTAAAAAGCTTCTGGAAACTGGTGTCTGATAGTTACCAGTGAAAAGGTTAAAAAAAAAATAAATCAAAAGTTAGTTGGCATTGGGATAGACATGATTGCTGTGAATAAATACACTGTAAGTAAAGAAATCACCAGTGGAAGGTCCCCATTAAAAGAAAGCAAGAGAAATCCAAGTTATATATGCCAGTGACAGCCACAGGGGCTCAGATTTTTTTAAATTTTATTTAATCAAAGTTAAGACGTGGATAAACATAAATACAGCACAGGTACTTCAGATCATTCTTCATATTTGTGTACAGACAAACTGATGGATGAAATCCCAATGAAAACTGCAGTCAATGAAGTGCATACAGCCTTCCCCCCACACACACAAAAACAAACCCCAATTAAAAAAAAAAAAAAGAAAACAACAAAAAATCCCCCACACAATCTCAGCACACACTCTCATTACAAATGATTCATACATAAATAGGTAGAGGGTGCAAACAAGCTAATATGCGAACATGTATAACCTCTCGTTAATGGGAAAAAAAACCAGAAGCAGCCATAATGATTAAAATACATTCAGTTACTGATAACTAGTTGTGCCATACAAGGCATTATCAAAAAAAAAAAAAAAAAAAAGAAATTGTGCTGCAGAGAAAAGCTATATACAACAAGAAAATAAACTGCAAAGTTAACGCATGCATGTTTTATCCTGGAAAAGCACAGCCCTCCAATATTTTCTCCACGTTTGTTATAAAAGCCCTCTGCACTCAACTAAAATTAAAATGATCTTAAAGGATAATATTGGTAAAGTTTACTTAAGTCTTCAGCCACAGAAAACTGCAATGAAAATAATGTTCAGAGTCATTTTCAAAACAACAAAAAAAAAAAACGAAAACAAAAAAATCTATTCATCTGATGACATGCATGATTAAAAGGTCTAGGCAAGATACACTGCTCTACGTTCCTGATGACTAAGGAAAAAAGCTCAAGTCAATTTAATCTGCAGATGGTCAAATGATTTTTGTATTCCAGCAGAAGCAGCAGTTCAGATCTTCTGGATCTTTTCCCCAACAACTACAGGATTCTCTTTTCTGATCTTCTCAGCAGCATCAGCTTTGTAATTGTAAGAGCAACTGTGTACATCTGAGTAACGGTGCATTCCACAGTAAACGTTCCCACACCGACATTCGAACCCTGTGGACAGAAACAGCAGCTTAGGCATTTCAACATTCTTAATTACACTGGCTTGTTTTAAATCCTGAATGTATTCACTCACTAGCAATAAATCTCAGTCACCAGTGTCAATCAGCCAAAGAGCCTCTGCTGCAGAAAGCATAAGAATCACAAATAATACATTTTTAAGTGATCACAGGAAGATTTGATTTGACCATTCCTTCCTATCACGCGATACACTAGCATAGAACATATTCCTAGACACCTCGTGCTCTTTTCTTTGTTTATGAACCTTCACCCTGCAGAACTCAAGTTCTCAGGCCCTTTCACTTGACCACTGCAAAGCTGGTTAGTGAAGGGCAGCAAACTATCATCCAATTCCTCAGCTAAGCAGAGTTCCTAAGGAAGTATTTGGAATTATGAACTTCACTTAAAGACAGGAGGCTGAAAAACAAAATAATACATGAATAACTAATCTAGTAAGAGTCAGCAGAAACCATCTTTGACTAAGTGTTATCTCAAATCAACATCGAGACGACCATGCCCCATCTTCCCTTTAAGAGAACATTTCAAAGGTCCAAGGCTTTGAACAACAAATCTCAGAAAACTGAAATCAGTATTTCTTACCAGTAAGTCCAACCTTCTTCCTGCACATGAAACAACGATTCTTTTTCTGTTTTGGTTTGTCAAGTGACTTGTCTTGTTCTTCAGGTGTAGGCTCTGCATTCTCTGACACTGAAGCTGACATTAAAGAAGTTAATAAGAACAGTGGAAAAAAAAGTCTGTCTCTCCCCTCCTCTAAGTCCTACAATAATTTAAAGTTCATGATGTACAATTAGCCATTTTTCTGCAGCTTCCACACCTGAAGTGTAATGGTGTCTCAGCAGTGACTGCAACTCCCTCCTTCTAGACCGTCAACATAATTTAAGGGGAGGATTCATTAAATGCTCACATAAAGTTCACAATACAATACCATAAAAAACTCAGAGTAATTAAACATTAGGTTTAAGAGTAAGATTCAGATATGGGATGAAAATCCAACATCCCAGTGTTTCCCCACAGCTTACTAGCCCAGTTCCCACAATCTGCTTGTAAGAAGCACTGTATGTAACAGGATTGGTTGAGCCAAACACCCTCTTTCAAATCCTGAATCAACACTATTTTTGCTGAAGGCTGCAACACTGGGACCACACAGAATGTAGTGTTTCAGAACAATATCTACCACTGCGATGCTGCTGCTCTTGCACACCTGGAAAAAGCCTACACAGGAGCTAGTCACTACCTGGGGTGAGAAACATCAGCTCTGGATACACAGACTTACAGGGAGGAACTACACTGTCCTGAAACACAGAAGGAAGCAGGTGAACACCTAATTTTAAAGATGTTTTTGCTAAGGCCACTTTCAACCTACTTTAATGTTCTCTCACATCTAAAAGAAACAGGTTATAGGTTGTATGGGAGAATACAAACAAGTAATGGTAGTATTTGCCTGACCCAGGTAAAAATAGAAGTTGGCTGCTTTTCCTCAAGTATTTGCACATTCCTTACATTACAAAACAGAAATAGAAACTAAACCCCCCAACTTCATTTCAAGAAGGGCTAAGAGCCAACCTCTGCCTAATGAGACCACAGCAGAACAAGTCTCCAGTGAGTAAGGCACACAGAAGTTAGGAGTATTTGCAGCAAAGAACAAAAGCAAGCTCCAGCTGGGAGAAATGTCAATGGAAGCAGAGCTAGAACCAGTGCTGTGAGGAAAGGAATACAACAGTAAGCTCAGACATTTGTCAGGGAAAAAGCTGCAGGCATCTCTGTGCAGCTGGACTTTTGTTCAGCAGAGACTGTCAGATGCAGTTCTGTGTTAGTTCTACGCCAGTCGACAGCTCTTCTGCATGACAATTCCAGTGGGGTTTTTCCTGTGCTGCTATTCTGATGATTTTTTATTTTTAAAGGAAAGGGCACTTATCATTTTGTCTATGTATCAAAACATTATAGTCTGTACTAAGCAACATCAATGGGTAGCAAGATACCTGATCACCAGCAAAGACTTTGCCTGAGGGGACAGTATATTCCACAAGTTCATCTAGCAAAGATACAATTACACATGGTTTATTAAATCCTTTTAAATCACCATGTATGTTACAAGAAGAGCTCTTCTTTGTCCTGAAATTTCTAACAATTGATAGTTGGTAAAAAAGCTTCAATGGCTTTAAAAGGCTGTAGAGGGCACATTCCTGAGTGGACAGATAATATCCAAAGGTTTTTGAGATAAGAATCAAAAGCAGCAAGGACTAAAATAGGAGAGGTAAGTACCAGAAGGGGCAAGACTTACTCAAATGAACTTCTGCAGCTTTATATGAAACAGACATTGCAGTGTTTATTAATTCATTAAGGCAGCCTCATGCCATGAATTAGCCTCTAGCAGCTAAGACTCTCAAGCTTGCATTTCCTGTTGTAGCAAAATCCAGTTACCTCAATATAAGTCTCACTAAAAGCCTCTGTAACTATTTGCTAAATTTAGGGAAAACTGGCACTCTTCCCTGCATAACAAGGCTCTCATACATACTTACATTTTCTTTGTGCGTATGGCTCTCACATTAAAAAGGTTTAAAAATATTTAAGAGCTGCTGCTCAGTGTAGAACTGAGTGGGAAGATTCTTCTACTGTGCCACAAGTCACTCACTTTGTATCTGCTGTAGTAACCATAAATTTTAGGTCTCAATTTGCACAGAAGCCAGAGATTTGACTCAAAATCCTCGATGACAATCACGAATATCCCAACCACTAAGACACCCTTAGATGACCAAGTGCCAGTGGTTCAGTGCTCAAACTATAAGCTAGCTGTGATGACCACAACAGAACAAAGGCAGGTAAAACACAAGACTGCCCAGCAGCTTGGAGCTTGCAGGAAACATGTTGCAGCCACTCCCAGCTGCTGGACTTCATCTGGATTCCAGGATGCTGCTGCCTGCTTTCCTTGAACAAAAGTCCTCCCTTCCCCAGCTCCAGCTCTGCCTTTAGCCAGAGCACAGAAGCACTGGTAGCACCAGTACAGGGTGCCAAACCAAAAAGGAGTAAGGCATGAACACACTCATTTTTCTGGAGCTGACAAGTTGAGTTGGCTGCTAAAAGTTCCCTGATTTACAGAACACGTTCTTAGCTGATCAAAACAAGCAGAGTCTGGATTTCCTCCTAAAGGTAGAAGTTTTTCCTGCTTCTTTGTTTGTGCCAACCCTGCCTGAACTTCAGTGTGCTCTGGCTGACCACAAAAACAGCACCCGCAAGACAGAGCTCACTCCAGCCCTTGCAAATCCCTGAAGGCACATCTCGGCTCCCTGTGTGTGCAGCAAGACTCCTGACACCTCATCTGTTCTCTTCTCTCTCTGGATGTTTTACATTTATCACCCCTGCATAACTAGGCAGAGCCTCTTAAAGAAAAAGGTTCCTCATTCCCACAGGAAGAGAATAAAAAGCTACATTTAATTCTTAAGAGCACCTGATTAGATGGCCTAGGAAGAAGAATCCCCACTCCACCAGACGAATGAAATGTGAAGTTAATCCTAAGCAGAAGATCACTACTTCCTAACATTTTAACACTAAAGTCAACTAATCAGCCTAAAATACACTATTTCAATGTTAGGAAGAGGTAAATTAAGTAAGAGCACACTTATCTACAAAATTTAGCTTTAAATCTTTCTTTGAATGTTTCCTCTCTCCCTGGAGCATTTATCCAGTATATCAGGATATCCTATATTATTTTTCACACTTATATCATAGTCATACTCTACCTCCCTGGTACTATCACAAAAATCTCAAGTATCCATCAATTCCTTTCCCATACTGCCTACTGAACCAGCCCTGATGAGGTCCACTGAAACTAAAGCCTTTAGTTCAACTGCATTCACCTTTGGTCCAGGTTACCTCCACACAAAATGCTGCAGCAGCTTAATTGTTTTAGTATCAATTTTTTAAACTCAGTCATCAATGACTGAATCAAACTGGTTTACCTCACTAAAACCTAGATGTGCCCAGTTATTCAAATCTAAGTTTGTACTCTCTTTGTTCAAAGTAGTAACCACACCACATTACGTGAGTGATGGCATTTTGCAATGCTAACAATACATGCTCCTCTCCAACTCACAATAAGTTTGAAAATCAGAGGGGCTGGTTTGGCTTTCACAAGTTTTCAGCCCCAAACAGGCCGAGAGCCCATCTGTTAGTTCAATTTATACTTTCAGCCCTATGTTCTTCAGCTTTAAGAGCTCCATAAAGTATGTGCTGGAGTGCTCCTGCCTTCCATGACAAGTTTCATTTACCTTTGAAAACCTGCCTGAAATACAAGGCATGAATCCTAACCTGGATGGTTTTAAACTCATTAATCCTAGGGAAGGGAAGTGCCTCTTTACCCGCTTGCAGGCTTGCTGGGAGGCAGCCTGGTTAATCCTCTGGCTAACAAATCAGGAATCCTGACTGGCTAATCCTAACAGGGCTGTAATGTTAAGCAAAAGGTACAACAGCCCAGGAGGCAATCTAAAATGAGTTGGAGAGATGCTCAGAATAGAAGACAGCTTCTAGAAAAGCTGGATTGTACTTAATGAGTTTCATTTTAGGTCATCTTTAATGGTATCTTCATGGTATTTAAGAACATTAAAGTTTAAAAAAAAGTCTAGTACTACTATCTAAGAGCATCTGGGCTTTTTGCAGTGTTGCATGTCTACAAGTATCACCACAGAAACACTAACTGTAAAGTCTAGACTTATATTCTATAGTTTTTCCTCTGTTCTTTTGCAATGCATAAATTGAACAAAGAAAAACAGATCTGAACTGCTCTTTGGGATTTTTATCCCCTCATGGTTTTAGCTTGTCTGCAAACAGCAAGGACTGTGTGCACACAGCACAAGTCCCATTTATCTGTCTGCTTTAGAAAAGTAATAATAGTAATCTAAGAAAGCTTAATTGTTCACCCAATCTTTCTTTCAGTGCTGTTGTAGCCTGGTAATTTTTGTTTTAATGGCAAGTTACGGGGAACTCAACTAAATACAATACATGACCTTACACAAGTAGCATAGAACAATTTGCCCCAAAACAGACATTCCCACGAGGCAAGATTTTAGCAGAATAAATACTGAACAAGTCATTAGAGCAGACATAATTTCTCCTTTTCCTACCCTAAATCAACAGAAGTAGCATTAGATGCTCTTCAGTCTGGGACCAATTACCACATTGTTGTGACTTTCTAATTGGTTTTTTTTAATACTAGAAAGTCAGGCAATACTAAAAGAACTTTGATTCACACATTTGTATTATATTCTTGACAGCAGCCTGAAATTCAAAAAATAAAAAACTTTAGGATGCACAACTGTGACACCAATTCAATGAAATCCTCTTAGCATCCATTCTAAGCTGCTTTCTTTCCAAACTTACATTTTCAAATCAAAATACTTAAACCTGGAAACACTACATTTCCTATAATTTTCAGTTAAGGGATAGCACAGAAGAAACTCCTAAGGAAATAAGGTTGACCCTGCCACAGTGAGTTATAAATAGGGACTGTAATTTAGAACTGCAACTACATGGCGGTGGTATTCTTAGTTTAGAAACTAGGGTACAAAGAAAAGGACACAGGACTCAGCTGAGTAATCTAAACACCTGATATAGGTTGATCCTTGAAACACATACTGTAAAAAAATGAAGATATGCCCCCCAATTAAAAGCTTTAAGTTGAGAAACCTATCTTACCTTCTACTAAGAAGAATGAGCTTTAAAGGTGAAGAATTAGAAGGAGCACAAATTTATCCAAATGAGTAAGAAGTGAACCTTGAGAACCATCTCAAAGATTAGTAAAAATAGTAATAGCATTAAAAACTTTTCTCCTAAGTTTTACAGTCACTGTTTGTGTGACCAAGGACGTGGTATTACCCAGCACAGTAGCTGACTAATGACTCTCACATTCCACCCCACAAAAAGGGACAGGTCAGGTTTAGAAATCTGAGAAGCAAAACTTTGATACCAGAGGTACACTGAAAGTACTAATATTTAGCATCTTTAAGTGGAATTACAAGTTGTACCTGTGGAAAATCCAAACTCTTATGTTTAGACAGAAACATAACTTCACCCACTAAAGCCTTAACTGTGTCAGCAGAAGTAAAGACAGAATACTTACTGACTTACCTTTAAATACTTTTTATAACGTCTACAGGTTACAAATCTGAGCACATTTTGTATATTATCTGGCATTTTTGCATTTCCAAAAAAATATTATTAAAAGTTTTTAGTCTTAAGCTCTGAAAGCTTGCACACAGAAAGAAAGTAAAAAAGCCAAAACCTTTACACTGTACCAGCAATAAGGATTTTAGGCCAATATAGTTAAAACAACCCACTCAGACATCTTCCTTCAACCAAGCATAGTCTGTGGTTTGGTAATTTTATATTTGATAAAATGAATTTTAGTAGGTCAAAATATTACACCACTACAGTTCATAGGTGAAAGGTTCTTTTGTAGGTGTTTCCTGTTTCTAGAAGATATTAAAGTTGGTTTTGCAACAGTTACATCATAACACCCTCTATCACAAATATGCTCATAAACCTCTGTGGTATCTGCTGCAAATGGTTCCTCTGAGAGGTAGCAGATACTCAAAACTCTACTTACATGTAATAGCTGTGGCATAAAGACAGAAAAAAAATGTTGATTTACAATGTGCATTTCCAACACCAATTAACACACTTGTTATGGCAGATACTGACATCACCAGAGAAACATAACAGTTTTCAGCTTGACTTGCCTTTTAAGAAAAGAAAGTTTATCCTTATTTTGCCTTCTGATTTCACAGAACATTTGGGTTTGAGAACCAGCCATCTCTTGAACAGGAATATATTAAGAACAGTCAAAGTCTAAAAACATTATTCCTAAGTTCTCCCTCTGAAAACTAGGCACCAACCTTGCAATTCTTCTGTCTCAGGTACTGTTTTGTCCACAGTCGTACTATCCGGTTGGGATGATGCTACAGATTCTGTTAAAAGTGACTGACTTGACACTGGGCTGGGGGCAAAAGAAGACAGTTACAACTTTTATGATGCATTTCCATGTTCTTTTCCTGAAAGGGATACATTAGAGCACCTCTTGATGAAAAAGCATGCCAGAACTTCTCACACTCTGAAGTTGTTTTTATAATGATTTAAAAACACCACAACCTGAACTGACAAAAAAGTAAACATTTTTTGCATTCATACTGAATGCAATAAACCAGTTCAACTATAAAAAGGGAAATATTTTGGGTAGTTTGGCATACCATCTTTTTACACAAAAGCAACAATGCAACATTCAATACGCAAGGATTTTTATAACATAAGTCAGCAAGATAATTGTAGAGGAGCTACTTTTGGTGTTCTAGTGATAGGAATGAGAAGATTGCAGCATGTCTATGTTTCCAGCAATAAAGCAGCTGCAGCTGCACACAGAACCCCTTAGATTTTCACAGCATAAAGCAGTGTTGGCCCAACTTCCACACCCTGTCAGTCACACAGCTAAATCACAGCCTGACTGAAAACTCACAGATGAACACCCTGAACAGATATACAAGAAACCAGTTCAATACCAGCAGTCGCTCCCAGCCAAGCTGCTCATCCAGGACAAGGCAGACCTGAAGTCCCAAGCAGGAGGCAGCCCTACCTCATTCACTTTATTTGTTTCTTCCTTTCCACTTAGGGATTCACTTTGAAGTCAAACAATTGGATTATTCAGCAGACCATGAGCCAGCAGACCATGACACTCCCCCAGCAGAGGTCCACGGACAACCAGAGTACTCGAGTTGCAATTTTAACTGCCAAGAACTGCACAAAGGTCTTCAACTGCAGCTTTGGTTACACTGTCAATTTACTGTATGTGTCCTCAGAGTATTGTAAGTCTGAGGTATTCCCAGAGACTGAAGTTGAATTCCTACTTTTTATTTTAGAGAAAAAGCCAAATAAGTGACACCAATTCTTTTGAGGTACAAGTCCAAGAGCAACCATCCATTATTTCTCCTGCAATCAAGCCAGTGATCAATGAGGTGCTTTTATTCTCTTTCATGATTCTACAGAAGTTGTATGAGAACAAAGCCAAGGCACTGTAATTGGTTCAGATCTGTGCACTGACCTGGATGACTTTTCTTTTTATTACACACACCAGAAGAGTTGTTTCAGGGTAAGATATATATTTTCTATCCCAACTAGAAGTCTCAGAATGGGAAGACTAAATATAGCCTCAAGCATGGCACCTAGCTCTCAGTTCATATGCAGGATCCAAGCACGAGATAACACGTCCTATAAAAAGCTAGGGAGCAGAAAACACAGTCTGAGCAGAATCAGCCAGCAATAACTGATGAAATCACCCTCAACCTGTGTTTTACTACATTCTGTTTTAAAAAAAAAAAAAGTTGGAATGAGTATTTCTGCAAGTTAGCTTCCATAGTGTAACACACTAACACTTTTCACTCAAAAAATTTCCAAAGCACTTGAGTTGCTGTTGGTTGTGTCATTCCGAACTGAAATGCAGCCACCAAATACAAACATTTAGCTTTTACAAATGGAGAACACTTAGTAAGTCTGAGCAGTTTGCAAAAGGACATTATGTATCCTTGAATAATCCAGATGGAAATTACTTGTTTAATAAGAAATCAGTTCAGTAGCACAACATGTACCAAGATTCAGAGATCAGTTCAGTAGCATAACTTGTACCAAGATTCAGATATCCTTCCCCTGTCCTAGTACTCTCCAATCTTTGTGAAACAACTGGCTCTTAACACATTATCACACATTTATTTATGAAAGCTCTAGTAAGCAGCTCTCTGCCATTTTACAAACACCTCAAACTTCTAAGGTGAAAAGAGCTCTCCTTTGGTAAACATACAACTGCAAGTTGTAGAATCAGAAGACTAGCCAGACAAATCTCCTCAGAACAGCATGAAGCTGGCAATGCTCCTATTTGAGGCTAAATTCTAAAGACGAATTTCCATTTGAATGCAAGATGAAGCCAGAGATCTGCTAGTATTCACCATGAGATCCCATGCTTTAAAGTCAGCAGTTAGATCTTACACCTACCCCTAATTCAGGCCCCAGCATTTAAACTATGCAGGATCAGTACACTTCATTTCACCATCTTGACACAGATTTTTACATAAAGACACCTTACCTTGGCTGCATAGATGGAGTCGATGTAGAATCTAAAGTGGACTGAGTTTCCTGGGTGCTGCCTTCTGTGCACTGAACCGGTAAGGACTCGGTTATACTACTGACAGAGGCTGCTGGAAGACACGGAGCAATGCAGAATGTGTTACACTACTTCCTGGGATTACAAAAATTACACACTGCAATTACTCTTTGACCCCTATGACACCAGCCAGGAAAGTAATTGAATCTCTGCCTATATCATAATGAAACATAACTTTACAAAAAAGTAATTATGTTTGGCCATATCTCCATCTCGTTCCAGCCCCAGGCCCCCAGAACTTACACTGCGGAGAATTTTGAAGCTGGAGATTTGAAATAGTTACTATTTTTTGCTAATTAAAGCATCAACAAACAGCTTTCTCAGCATAAACTGCAGTATTCTGGCATAAGAAGCTTGGGGTTTGTTTGAAAAACCAAGATGGATCTGTGAGAAACACTAACATAGCATCCTAATGCCAAATTCAGATCCATTTTGAAGTTGTAGAACTTAGATCCCCAGATTTCAAGGGAAGCTTTTCCTTCAATTTAAAAGGTCAAGTTGAAGGAAAGGATAGTACAGAGGGCGCTGGGCTAAAAAGAACAAAAAGTATCTGAAGATAAGGAGAAACTATCAAGTGTCTACAGGTTAATCCTTCAGCGTGAGGCTGCAGAGATTAAATACCTGTATTTTAAATGCTTTTCACAAACATACCCCAAGGTAAATCTTATCTCTACTGTCAGTAATTTCCGGAAAAATATGTTGGTATTTTTCTGCATTTTTAGATCTTCAAATTGGAAACACTCAAATGACTACCAAAGGTATTAGGAGTCTACTTCTGAGCAGATTAATCGCAGCACAATCATATTATGAGCATTTCATCCGGGCTCATTCCATGAGGGAGTGCAAACCATTTTACTCAAGCATCTTACTGCTCCTAACATCTAGTAGCTGGACACGAGCAGGAAGCTGCTGTCCACTGTGTCAGTCTGAGCTGCTCAAACACACGTATGTCAGTGTTACTTACCAGGAGGGCTAATTCTACCATTACTGTTCTGCCTTTGAAGATGTTCTTTGTAGCACACTGAACACATGCCATTTGTGCGAGGATTCCCGTAAAATCCGCAGCCAGTGGAACAAAGCATAGGCACTTGGCTACGGTTCGTTTCTTGAGCCATTTTCCCTTCTTCTATAAACCTGAAATTGATACATACAACCCGGTATTTAGAGGCCTGAGAAAACCTTTCTTTTACAGTTGACATTTGAAAATCTGAAGTTTCCCATAGCTCAGCAAAAAGATCTTCCAGAATAAATGCCTTGTGGGTAACTCAGTGCCCTTTCCCAAGAAGTCCATAAAGTCTGCCCAGTACCACAAATACAGTCATCTGTGGGCTTTGCATGACCCACACATTCAGACCCTCCCAGCCCCACCAATTTATGTTCAATATATACCCACAAAGAAAATTCGTTTTAGCAAATATTGGAAGTATCACTGCATCTGTCAGTCAGGTGAGGGGAGATAGGTGAGGGGGACAACTCAGGCTGAATTCTCCTTGAAACCTGAACACCTAATACTGTGCATAACAACTGTAAAATGAGAGACCAGCATGGTAACACAGGCTTACTTACTGCATAATAATTATAATTACCAGCAGTCACATGAATTCACACGTCACTGTTTAGTCACTGCGTCATTAGTGAAAGACAACATGACTTCTTACCACAAACCCCATGTTATGATTTTTCACATGCAAAAAAAAAAATAATCACCCTCTCAGTCAAAAAAAATGAGACCAGGTACACATATCTATTTATCAAGTTTGTGTGAAAACCTAGAGATATATGAGTTGCCATAATATTTAACATCCTTAATCTTCAACTGTATAATTTATATGTTTCTGTCTCTGGCTTGTATTAAGAAGGTTTACAGATATTTACAAGAAAACTAGAGCAAATGACCATTTTCATCAGTATTCTGAGCCTCCTAATTATTATCAAGTGATCTAACTTGTAAATCAGTTTTGACATCTGTCACTTGGTGAGATTAAATTAATTTTCCATTTTTTGCCCCACTCTATAAATATACAATTGCCTTTTAAATCAGTTTTGAAAGAAAAAACAGTTTCTCATTAAGAAACTATGTATATTAAGGTATCAATTATTCAAGATCGACTTGGGTCAGTCATTTTATATTTCCTGATTAAAAATTAAGCTGAAGCATGTGTGATTTTTAACTCTTGAAGTCAAACCAAAAATGAGCAATATTACTGAAAAAAACCCGAAATCAATCTTTCAAGTAACATCAGTATACGTTTCAAAAGAAAAGAAAAACAAAACAGAGGGAAAGTGGTTTCAAGACAGTTGAATACTTCACCAATTGCCACGTTATAAAACTAGATTAAACCACAGTAAGAAGCACCAGGGTAAAAAAAAGATTTCCTTTTACATAAGATGCATTTGGCTTCAAATACAAACAACTTTCCCATTATTTTGTTTCCAGACAAATCTCCTCATCTCCTCTCACACCCACATCCCACTGCATTTTGTTTTTATTTCCCCAAAACATATGAAATTGATACCAAGAGCAAACCTCTGGGTTGCAAAGCCAACAGTAACACAGAAACAAGTCTTCTGCTCACAGCAATAAGTGACTCTTAGGATGAGAAGGTGTTCAAGATATATGATAAGGAAGATGTACAGGCAAGAAGACAAAATCTGATAGTACCTTTTTCAGCTTCAACCCGCAATTAAGCTCATTTCAGCTGTTGATTGCACTCCCCCACCCCAATACAGAAGCACTTGCTTTCGACATACAAAGCCCCCATTGACCTCACAGGACAGCTAAATTTGATTTTGCTGAAGTACTGTACTTGTAGCTGAAAGACCACTTTCATTCCTGCCCTTCCCCAGACAGCCCTTCAGAGTGAAACTGCAAGTAGTGCAGTGGGAATTTACTTTTTATGCTGGGCCCAACATCCAGCAAAGCCATTTCAGGGGAACATAAATGAAGAGTTTTCTGTGCTTTGGTAACTAGAAAGAATTTAAGGATGAAACCTTATGCAAGTCACTCTTGGCATAGAATGTTTAAGATTGAAAGACTAATTAAAAACACTTTTGACTGAGAATTTCAAGTGCTAATAGAGATTCAATGTCACAATACACATATTAATCCTTTTAATTTTTAGGCAGCAGTATATTAAAGAACCCTACCACACTAACTTTCAAAATGTACCATGATTGCCTTTCTGTTCAATATCAGCTTCAAGCAACACACGGGAACTCAATAACAGCACCAGCTACTGCTAGTATTCCCCAACACAGTGCTGCTGAAGGGACCAGGTGCTAATGCAAACACAGCATAACAATCTCTAAGACGGATGTAAAAAGATAAATAATTCTGTTCCCATTTAATAAACAAATTGTGAAAGGTGCACAAAGATGCCCAGATGAAAAACAAGAAAAGCTGGCCTGAGTTCCAGCTAAGCCAGTTCCCAAGTTCATTAACCAGTGGGTACTGTCACCAGCCAAAGCACAAGCCACTGGCATGAGCTTCCAGAACACTTAAATCTCCAAGGGGAAGTGCCAGGGATTCTTCTGAAGAGTTTTAATAAGGGCCACAGGAAGCAGAATATCCTTCATTGGTTGCTAATATTTGAGGAATACAAAGAAGAGATAGGATCAAACTGATGCAATGTTACAAAGTAAAATGAGAAAGAAATTGCACCAACAAAGCAGCTTGTTGTGTTTGAAGGGGGCAATTGTGTACAATCCCCCATGCCAGCTCCAGTGCTCAGCTGGACCCTCACCCACCCAATCAGTGCCATGAACTACCAAAAAAAAAACCCACCAGGAAAAAAAAGGGCTATCACCACCACATACAGTTTTCTGACAGTTCAGTGAGCTCAATCAGATCACATACCAAAACATGAGAAGTAGAAAGCACAACAGAGGAAAACCTCTGGAATTGATGTGAGGGATGACATGTGACCAGGAGGAACAACACATGTTTTAGCAGCCTGTAAGCTGCTGAGATGGTTGAACTCATCCATTTGAACCCTAAAGCCACAGAATGCCAAGCCAGTATAATAAGCTCTCACTCCCTCTCCCTCATGCTGTGCCCTCCCTTTCAGTGCTCACATGCACCAAAATGAAACAAGGAAGTGATCAAACTTAAAGTCGACCACTCCATCTTCTGCCAATTAGTTTCACCACAGACTGGTTTCTCAGCTCATTTGTCACGTGTGCTGTTTGGGCAGGAGAGAGGGTCTAGCTGCAGACACGTGTGGAGCCACTTGTTTCAGCAGCAGAGAGGCTTAAGGAATTAGGAGAACCACTAGCCAAAAGCAGGCATTGAGAGAGATCCAAGTGCTGGCAGTTCCTGGCACTGCACCTCAGACATACCTCTCCCGTACACATCCACTCCCTCCCTCGGGAGGGCAAGGGCCGGGATGACACAGCACTGAGCCTCAGGGACTTCTCCTCCCCATTGCCTGGGCAGGAGGCAAACAGCCACAGGCAGAGCAGCCGGACTCTGTCCCCAGCTCAGCAAACATGAACAGCAGGAGATCATTGAACAGATGTTTTCGGGGGAGGGAAGGACCTCCAATCACCCCAGTTTTTGGCTCAGCTTCAGATTTTTGTCTCAAAACTGTCCATAATTCCTCATGCAGGGAGATCCACAGTATCGTTGAGCCCAAACATCCCATAAGCCAGTAATGGTGGGCAGTCACTGCTGGAACAGTGCAGTGAAAGGGGCGAGCCCACTCCCACTGCTGCACACCCCTGCCCCTGCCTCCAGTCAGATCAGTTCAGTCATCTGAAGGAAAAAACAGGACTATTTATTCTGGTGGACTGGAGAGCTTGCTGATCTGACAGAAGATCAGCTCCAGAGAACTGACACACACTGCACAGGAAGTGACATGTCTAAAAATAGGACGACCCTCTTTAGGGGCAGTCAGCTCTTGCTGAGCATCAAGCCCAATGTAAAATAAATCCCAAGTGCAAGTGCATACCCTATTCTGTATTTCAAAACTGGTCTCCTAGCTTGGCTTCAGTATGAAAGTGGAAGCAATTTCATACCTAAAGTGACTGCAAGGTCTTAGGATCAACATGACTACATGTATGTCCTACTTGTTTGAGGTGTCACAAAACAAACGTTGAACTTGTAAAGCTCCTGGAAATGCCTCTGGGCTCTGTCTGTTCCCCCCGAGCTGTGCTTGCGCACAGGACAATTCTTTGAATTCTGAATGTTATTCTGAATGCAGAATTGATTCATTTTAAAGAAAAAAAACCAGAACAACAGACTCTTTACAATATTTTAAGCACATTTCCCTGCTCTCCTTTGCAGTATAGTTGTAAAACCAGTTGTACAAGCACTAATGAGAAGGAAGCATATTAGAAGGAAGTGCAAGAGCCTCAAACAACTCCTCTCAGTGCAACCCCAGAACATCTACTTTGTTGAAGATTATGGAATAAACTGGCTCTTTTTGCATTAGCTGATAAATTTAAGATGAAATTACCTCCATTTGCTTCTCAAAAATATTTATTGTTACTATAAGCATGGCAGGACATAGCTCTGCAGGCTAAGTCCTCCTTTGGTGCTTAAAGTCTACCCATTCCTGTTACTCTGGTCATACACAAACAACTTGATGCATCTATAAGGCCTTCCTCCTTACTACTGCTGCTGCTATGGGTCCCACCTTTCCCCCCTCACTATAGCACATCCTCAGAGTAAAGTCCTCTCTGTACCAAGCAAAAATATATAAAGGGTGTTCCTGATAGTAAAATGTATAGAGCTGAAGCACTAAAGTAGGGTAACTCTTATGGCCATCAAGTTCCCTGAGGAAAGAGCTACCTCTTCCAATACTTTGTAAAGTAAATAAAATACTTGTGTACGTTCTTTCTCCACAGAGCAGACACTGCAATACTGGTCTTCCCCCCCATCTTCTTCTCTTTGTTTTAATTAAAATGTTTATATGCTACTAGTTTCAAATAACTGATACTCTAGCTTTATAGGCTTCAAATGTTAATCAGTAAGATCAGAGAGAGCAGCATTTAGCAGGATTAAATACACAAGGTTTAAGAATAATCTCTTTTCCCCCCCTTCTCAACAAGGAAAAAAAAGTCCCACACACAGAAGCCAGCCTTCTGTTCAGCTGTCTTCCCCAAAGAAAAAGGTCTCCTAAATTCCAGTTATC